TTACCCACGGATTCCAAGTACCCAATGATTAGGTACTTGGGGCTTGGGTAATAGTAATTCTAGTGCAGGTTTTGGGTACGTATATGATTATTAGGTACTTGGACCCTTAGGGTTAGGGCTTAGGGTTAGGGCTTAGGGTTTAGGGCTTAGGGTCTAGGGTTTACAGCTTAGGGTTTAGGGCTTACGGCTTAGGCTTTAGTGGTTGATTTTTAGCAGGGCTTCATGGGCACAATGGCGGGTTTTGATTTTGAGTTTCAGGGTCTTCTTGGAGGTTCATGAGTTGTAGGGCTTACCTAAACCCTCAAAGTAGGTAAAATAATGGCCCAAAACCCCTAAATGTAGCCCAAAAGGCCATTATTCTACATACTTTGGGGGTCCAGGTAAGGTTTTAAGGGTTGTGGCTGGAGGTCTTCGGGATCAAGGCAAGGGATTAAGGGGTCAGGGTTGAGGCTTGGTTTAGGGTTTAGGGTTTAGGGCAGTTCAGGTTTGTGCTAGGGCTTACCTGGAGCAACTGATGACTATGCCCTGACAGAAGAGCAGTGAGCTCAGAATACTAGGATTAGGCAGGGCTTAGGCTTCAGGCTACAAGCGCAGCGCTTAAGGCTCGACCACTTAAACAGAATTTCAGTCAGACTTGTAACGGCTTCATTCAGGGCTCCAGGTTTTGTCTTTGGGAAGTCCAAGGGTACCCGATTTGGGAAAGCTCTATCTTTCTGCATGTGTGGGCCTGTCTGGGACAGGCACCAACGATACACTCCCAACCATGCGGTGGAGCTCAACCGCGCAGGAGGCCACATCTGGGTAGTATCATTAATCAGGATACGATAGTCCGCCTCGACACAGGTAAGACAACGTTCCCCATGTGGTAGTAGTAATGGTATTACATGAAGAATCTATCTTCCGGCCTTTGGTTAACTGGGAATGGAAGAATGGAGAAGAAAATGGAAACTAGTAGAACGGGTTTTATAGGGACTACTATAAGGATCCAGTCCTTCATTCCTAGCTTGCCAAAGGCCAGTTTTCTTTTGAAGCCCAAGCAGAAACACTGGAACTCACATGAGCTATAGTCCCTATATTCCCCTATATAATCCCAGTGTCCATTTCATTTTCCATGTTCTTTTCCATTTGATTCTCCATTCTTAAGGGGGATACTAGGAGTTTAGACAATGGCTCACATGGCTCTTGCCATGCTGGGAGTTTCCCATTTTGTCGCCCCTTCTTCGAAGCCGAGGTTATGCTACTTGGGCGTGTATAAGTGAACCCCTTTTTTTGTACAAACACATTTTTAGGGTCTGGTGTTAACGTAGAACTTTTTTTGTACAAGCCCATTTGGTGTAGTTTGTGTTCATGATTTTGGAGCATAGGTCATGGGGTGGAAAGGTGCAGCCAGGTCTCGAGTTGTGGCTATCTGCCTGGAGATTTCCTTGGCCAATTGGGTTGTTTTTCAAGTTTGGAGCCAGTGGTGTTAAGAACTTTTGGGTAAGGTTTTAGGGTTCAGGGTTTAGGGTTCAGGGTTTAGGGTTTAGGGTTTCGGGTTTCAGCAGATCTTCAAATAGCTAAGGTGCGATGCCAGATGGGTGTAGTCCTGGCCTCCCACACAAATATGTAAAGAAAAGGATCCTCTTTTGGAAGATTAGTCATTTCATACTGAATTCAAACATCCCCCCTCAACCCTACTGTAGAGCATGCTCCCCGATGAATAGGGTCGGGGGGTATGTTTACTGCTATCAGCATAAGGGGATTACTTTCCAAAGGGGTGCCAAAAGGGATTCCATGAAAATATCAGGGAGGGAACACTACACCCTAAACCCCAATCCCTAAACCTTGTAAGGTGTGGTCCACAACGGTGAGACAGCCATCCTTTCTGTGGACTACAACGAGGACGCCAGCTCTAGGGGGAGGGCAGTTTACCTTCGAAGCTGAAGTGGTTCTTGGGGTTTAGGGTTTAATTGGGGTTTCAGGGTGTACATACCCTTGCTTGTTGCAGGGACTATGGCCTTTTGTGTGCTTGGTTTTTCTGCAATACAACACCCGTTGTTTCTTTAGTCCAATGTTTACGTAGAGCACGGAAGCTACACTTGCAACGCCTCATGCACCATCGCCTGCGGACATTTCAGACGAGGGCTTCCAAGCGGGGTCACCCTAAACCGTATAGAGTTTCCACAAATAGGGCCCGAACATAGACGCCCGAAAGAGTAGAATCCCGATTATAGGAACTCATTGAACAGTGTTTGAATATGTTTAAATGCAATTACGTTATGTGCTAGCCATGGGCCCCTAACTCCTTCCTGGGTTTTAATCAGGCGCCCATAGTTCCGACCTTGGAAACGCATTCCCTGGGTTGCTGTTAAGGAACTTCAATTCAGTGACGAGAATAGTGAAATGTAGTGACTAATGGGGTTTCCCGACTATAGTAATTTAATTTCAGTTCCCTATCAGATAATCAGTTCAGACTCCGGCTTGACATCCTATATTCCTAAGGGTCCGAGGACCCAAATAATAGGGCTTTAGGGCCCAAATATTGTACCATTACTGGTCTTTGGGCCTTCAAACCCTATTATTTGGGTCCATGGTCCGTGAGGGTATTCTTATAGTCCGGAAGCCTACTCAGCCTACCATTCAGAAAGCCCTCGTACTCAGTGAGGAAAGGAAAAATATGGGTGCTACTGTAATTTTGTCTGGGGTGCAGCGTTAGAACCTCAGGGCACTGGGTAGGTATAGTCCCCCTTAAGTCTATAGAATATGGGGTATACGAGGATCTTATTATGATATACCCAAAGCCATATTCTATCTACTTAAGCGGGACAACGGTTTATAAACAGGGCTTCATCCCCCCTTAGTGGGTTTGGTCCGCTCACAACCCTTTTTGCAACAGACTTACTGCCGTGCGTCCCTTGAGCCTTCAAGTACATCAGGTTCCATTCTTGTTTGCAGGAGCCTGGACACTGTGATGGAATTCGTTTTTGAGGCCAAAGACGCCTTCCCACTGAACACAAAGCAGTGAACAGTAACTAGACTTCCAAGTTTTAAAAGATGATAATCGCATATAGCTAAAATTTAGACACTAAACCTCTCACTTGCAGTCCAGTACGTAGTGTAAGTGCGTCGATTGCAAGGCATATCCCCTACGCCCTAAGTGCTAGCCCCCTCTTACAATCATCCAAAATTCGATGGTCCTCAAAGGGAACTGTCAAGGAAAACTGATTTACCGAAACCCTAAACCTACTGCAATGATAGATACTTGCACACCTAATCCTATATAGGGAACCTACAGGGATTCCCTAGTTGTCCCAGTTTTTAGGAACCCTAAACCTTATACAGTTCCAAACCCCTATAAGAGCCCCGTACCCCCTTTAAAAGGGCTCAGGCCATTGTGCTAGACCTCATGCTCGAGCCCATACCGTGCAGGAGGGCAGTGCCAGTGGCAGCGTCACAGGCGACATGATCCGTGACACGATCTGCCTCGGCCGAGGACGCAGAACGTAGAGTGCCAGGGTTCAGGGCTTACATGTGACCTCAATTGCCTACGGCTTTATAGGTTATGCGCACCAAGTATGCGGGTTCTCCCGACTCCACTGCACGCGTTTGGAGATTACGTTGTTTAGTAGTAATTCGTTCCCCGAGTTAGAAAGGCATAACGCGTAAGACTACTAGTTGAAGCTACGAAAAATGTTCGTTGTATGGGGCTGGAATAGAGTCCCTAGACCCTAAGTAGAATGCGTCTGAATCCTTCTCCTCGTAAACCTGCACCCAGACCCTTTTTGAGTTTCAGGGTGCAGGTGTTAGGGTAGTTCAGGGCTTCTATAAACTCTGAACCCCAAGCCCCTGAACTTTGAACAAGAAGTCCCAAGTACCAATCCCAAACTCAGGAAGTCCTATAATTTCCCCTTATACAGTTCATTACGGTATATACCTGACATCACAGTCAGGATTCCGAGGGTACGTTCCTGAAAAATGGCTGAACCTTCAACCATAAGCCCTTCCGGTGCAGGAGCAAACCGTCTCTGCGCAGAATTCGGTCTCCTTGCCGCTGAGAAGATGACAGATGCGCCGTTCCTTGCCATCAGCTAGGGTTCAGGGGCCTTTAGGCCCCAAATGCTTTGATCTCAGCGTCCCGCAATATCCTTTGATTTGAAAGGTTTCTGGCGCCTAAAGCCAATCGTTTTGGCTGATATCCTGGAGTGGGGGTTGGGGATTGTATCGGGGTCTAGGGGTCTTTTGGGGTCGAGGGTCTAGGGTCCAGGCCACAAACGGCTTAAGGGTGTAGGGGTAGCGTCACGCTTCACCAGACCCTGCTTTAGCCCTTCACAGCTGCATTTCTATCTTGGGTCATCTTATAGGGCCCTAAACCCTAAACCCTTATAGGGAGATCGCATCCATTTTGTGCAAAGTGTCACGCTCCTCAAGCTTGTCCATGCCTGCAAGCCCCTCGATAACCGCTGTCAATCCCACAAGACCTGTCAGGATCCTGAAATGTTGTGGTAGTTTTCATACACTGGGTTTAGGGTTTAGGGTTTAGGGGTTTCCATGAAAGAACCTACTACATTCTGATTTTGTTAACGGGACGGAGCCCCAACATCTCAGTTGCCCACAAATGAACCCCACATCCCCCAACCCAGACGAAGCCACAAAAGGGTTTCTGCATGAGCGCATCCCGCAACCCTAAACCATCAAATAGAGTCAAGTCTACATTACCCCCAACCCCTAAATATGGGGGTAAGGAATTCCCCCTACTTGGCAAAAACAGAGTGTAATCCTCCAAGAGAGCTGCTTACGGGTGTAGGTCTTGGGTTTTCTGGTTTGGTGTTATGGGTCTTGTGTGGGGTACCGAAAGTCTTCAACTCCAATCCTATGTTCATGTTCTGGGTGCCCGAATTTGGACAAACCACCTCCTCTGGTAATGTCTGACGTGTCAAAGAACAGCTTCAAGAATCTGAGTCTCCATATTTCCCATTACGCTCCTACCTACCAACAGCCCTAAATACCAACAAAGATTCCTTCCAGGCGTGGAGATGCATGTGCGGTTCAAGGTTTTATCGCTTAGGTCTTTTACGCATTCAGGGTTGTATCGAAGAATTTTTGGGCATAGACAAATACAGAGCCCTTATGTGCCTCCTAGTCTCCGTATATAAGCCATGCATAAGCTTCATGGAAGGGTACCCGCCTGGCAGCTCCCCACTTGAAAATTCCCTCTAGGATAGGCCTGACTAGACCCTAAACCCCGAAAACCTAAACAGGCAGGGTCTGAGTCTCTCAAGATGGGCTTGCTCTAAACTTAGGGTTCAGGGTCTAGGGAGCCAGGTTTACTCAGCTGCCCATGGATGGACTCGTTGGCCTCAGTCTCCAGGGTCTGCACATTGGGCTGCAAAATTGGCCTGGGCTTTGATGTTGTTTAGGGTTTAGGGTTTAGGGTTTAAGGTTTAGGGTTTAGGGTTTAGGGTTTAGGGCTGCTTAGAGGTTTAGGATCATTTGAGCTACAGTCTAAACTCCTTAAAAGGGGTTATGTAGGAGATTCTAGAGGGGATTGCTATAGGGCTTAATAAAGGGGGATACTAGGAGTTCAGACTAAGTAGCTGTTATTCCTAGACTTGGAGCCCCGGGGAAAACCTACAATGCATTGTTATGGCATGAAGTAGAGTCGGCATTGCTGCTACAGATTTTCTAGAGCCTGTCATCAAAATGTCTCTGGTGTCCTTGTGGTAGAGCCCTGAACCTTAAACCCATGCTAGAACATCAATCCCAGACATTCTCCGAAAAAAGCTAGATTGTAACCCTAACCGTAAACCCAGCCTGAAAAAGAGTTCGGGCATCAGAGTTTGGGGATGAGGGTCAGGTTCAGGGCTAAATTGGCGTTGAGGGCCTAGCACTCAGGGTGTATGGTGCTGGGTTTCAAGACCCAGTATGCTTGATACCAGGGCATCTGCGCAAGTTTTTCTATATCCACCAGAGTCAGATTGTCGGCACCAAAAATAGATGGCAGGATTGTTGTGGGCTCCTGTTCGGTGCTGTTTTTTTACCGTAAATCTTAACCCCAAACTCCACACTCCTAAGTCCTAAGCCATAGGCCCCACATTCACCTTGCGGAACCCACCGTTGGTAGGGCCATATCCTGTAAGTACTTTGGTTGTATATTAACTACATACCTGCATGCATACATACATACATACATACATACATACATTACAGTACAGTACAGTACAGTACAGTACATTACATTACATACATACATAAATACCCAAGGACTCAACTATGCCAGCTCCTGGTACCCAAAACCATTGAGCGTATGGTATTTGGTACCTAAACCATCAATAACCATCATATGAGGACCCTTGGACCATTTCAGGACAGCCTCGACCCTAAATCTATGTACGCAAGAACTGCCGAAGGTCCATCTCCCTAAGCCCTTATTGAAAGCTATACAAACGTAATAGTTGCACTCTAAGCCTTTCCGCAAAATTACTTACAAAAGGTCCATCTCCGAGCCTTTCAACTTCCTGCACAACCTGGGGCAGAACGGCTTCGCACGCACCTTGAGCGGCAGTGATTAAGCCTTAAGGTGTTTGACAAGCTCAGCCTGGCTTCACAGGGGCTATGTCTGGGGCACATGAGGAGATGGAGGGTCCGAGTTTAGCATCCTACCCAGCCCCAAAACTAATCTTTTGAGGGGTTATGAGGAGATTAAATGGTAGGTTGTCCAACAAAATTAAAGCCGACCACAAACCTCCAAATGAACTAAAATCCTATTTTCTATATCTATATAATCCCATTATAGTAGTTTCCATTTTCTTTTCCATTATCCCAATATAAACGCAATATGAACTGCGAGGGACCTTTGGCCTCTTCCTCCCGGGGGCAACGAAGCCTGGGCCAGCCGAGCTTACCCTCGGCGGCAACGCGGCCTGTTTTGGGTTTTAAAGCTTTAGAAGGCTTGCCTGTAACCCCGGTTACCTGCAGTTGAAGTTCAGTAGCATCGTAAGACCCATTTAGAACTGTAGGCCGTTGGGTTTGCAGGAAGAGGTTAGTGTTCGGGGGGAATGCCTTCCTGGTTTCTCTCAATTTGAACTACTTTAGATTCTGCGGGTGTATTTCGCTCCGACAAGTGCCCTCCTGAGTGCTTTTCTATTTCTTCGGGGACTTCAGGCTTTGTATCTGCTCTGCGGGCCAGGGCTTTACCTGTGGCACTGTAGCCCCAACTACCAACAACTTTACAGGCTATACCTCGGCTAGAATTACGAATCATGAGGTAACTAGTGCTAGAGTTGCTAGAGGTACTTGAAGTTACAGGTAGGTTTGCATGCTCGGAACACAAGGAATTGCATTTTGCTGGCAGCAGAAGCAGGCTGCTCACAGTCGAGTGTCCGGGAGTTTGACAGCCCGAGGGGGAGGGTTCTTATCTGTCGATGTAATTTAGCATTAGCGCATGCACTCCTCAGAAAACCCTGGTGGAAGTTCCCAATGCTGAGATCTCGTCCTAATCTATCGCCAACCGCCAAGGGCACAACCCGGATCGTCTTGCTTCAAATCTCTCTTGGGTTCCAGTGGAGCAGCCTGAGAAGGGTTTTTGGCAGGCAGGCGCCACATGGTTTTCAAGACGTTGTAAGATGTCGTTCTTTGTGAGGAGGATTCGTTTCTAGATGTCTGGCGTCACCTAGACCTTCCAGATACCCATTCCCTAAGGGTCCAAGTACCCAATAATCATATACTTACCCAAAACCTGTACTATAATTACTGTTACCCAAATCCCAAGTACCTAATTATTGGGTACATGGACCCTCTGGGATTGTTCTGGCTATTTATCCCAGGGATTTCACTTTGGGGTTAGGTTTTTGGAGTTCAGGCTTCAAGGCGTTCAGTTGGCGGGTCCAGGCTAGGGGTCTGATTTTTGCCATGTTTACTCTGCTTGAGCCTAATGACATGAGCTATAGCCTGAACTCCTTGAAGGGGGTTATATATGGGATTACATAGGGGACTCCTTTAGGAGCTATTCAGGGGCATGCGAGGAGTTCAGACCCTAAACCCTGAAAATCTTAGACCATAGCTTACATGAATGAAGCAAAAGCTGGCCCAGGACTTTGATGTCTTCAAGCAGGCTGCTGTATTACCTGGGTCAATTCCCCTCAAAGTAACTGTCCTTAAAAGGGGGCCTTAATTAAGGGGCTATTATAACTTCTATGATGCATTGTGGTAACTGTGACTGCATGAGGGAATGGCCCAATGTATTACTTGCAGGAGGTACCCAAAACCCACAAATCTTCAACGTCCTGACAAAAGGGCCCCTCTAGTCTTCTGTATAATCCCCGTAACCTAGACCCGTGATAAATAACCCCCTCCCCTTGATAGAGATTATGAATTCTAATATTCATCCTAGTATTGAGGCCCTCCAAAGGAGGGGGTTTATTAATCATAGGTCTACATTATCCCTATGGTGCAGATAAAGTGGGGCAGGTGCACATTCAGTCCGTGTGGGTCGGTTCGGAACAGTTGGACTTCTGCCGGCAAGGCCGGTCCAACATGCCGTAGGGGGTTTTAGGGTTTAGGGGTTTAGGGTTTAGGGGTTTAGGGCTTTAGGGGTTTAGGGGGTTTAGGGTTTAGGGGTTTAGGGTTTAGGGTTTACTTGGAGGTCCAGGAGCTTTGGTAACTACGTATAGCGGGCTTACCATGCTTCTTGTTATTGGGGTAACCTCCTAGAAGGCTTGATAGGTGAATTTTTACTTGGGTTAGACTGCCAAATATAGGTAGTTACCAAGTCTCATGGACCTCCAAGCGGGGTCCATTGAAATGAGGTGATGCGGGTCCTATAGGGACATGTACTATTACAGGCGCAATTTTGGGGATACACAGGGCCTAGGTCCCAGCTTTGAGGCCTTAAATTAGGGTGTTGGGGTTTCAGTGTTCCTCCCCAGTCTAGATATTTAACATGGAGCCCGCATGCATCCACATTTCGAAAGGACGCTAGTCTCTCTAGATCCCTGTAAGGCCCTTTGAGGGGTTCCGTTTAAGTTAGGGGTTTGGACTTGGCCGTTTCATGCTGAGAGTGTTTCCATGCCTTTTGTGAGCCCTGCGCTGTACTCTGACTCCAGTAGTAGGACTAGCAGCGTGAGAACTATTATGCCTGCTTCTCCTACTATCAGGAACGATGAGTATCACCGCTGCTGCTCAACGGCTTCTGCCATTGGTGCGCTGCTGGCAGTGCTATGGCAACTGCTACTTCTGCTGCTACCGCTACTACTGCTGCTGCTGCTGCTGCTGCTGCTGCTACAGGTACACCTGCGCTTCTGCTCCTGCTCGTACTCTTGTTTCTACTCCACGCTGCTTCTGCTCCTGCTGCTTCTGCTGAGCCGCTACTGCTACTCTTCTTCTTCGCCTGCTGCTACCACTGCCACCACCATTGCCACCCTCACCTCCGCCATGGCCACCCACAGCTGCCACCCACCCTCTCAATGCCTGCCCCTGAACTTCCTTTGGCTTCGGCGAGGCTGCAGAGCCATTGTTGATAGCAGCTCATCTCACCTCACGGTGCCCACCGAGGCCCAGAGTTTGGGGAGCAGGAGATTTCAGGTGTGGGTATTTAGGTCATACGTAGTTCCCATTGGGATTATATTGGGTTATATTGGGATAATGGAAAAGAGGATGGAAACTACTATAGTGTATTGGTCCCAAATAGTGGATACTGTGGGTTGTGAAGGTTTCAGGTTCAGAGTTCGGGCTTGGGGGCTTTAGGGTGAAGGTGGTGAGGCATCAGGTTCAGGGCAGGGTGCAGGGCCTCCTCGGGAGACTCTTTGTACAGCCACCGTGGGTTCGGCTGTGCCAGCGAACCCCAAGGCTTACAACCCTTTCCCCATCTTTACTTATCCCGAAGTCAGCCGCAAACATGACAGGCTTTCCTGGGTCCCATTTTGCGAAACTCCAAGTTAAGACCAGATAATGTAGTCTCTTGTGTTTGTGTAGATACTATTCTCTCTATGCATTTATCATTGTTGTTGCTATTGATACCGCTGGTGTTTCATAATATACCTACTTAGGCTACTGCAGGTGATGCCAGTGATGATGCAGAAGCTGGCAGTGAAAGCGCCCAAGAGCTGGTTCTCCGAGACACTCGTCAGGGGTTTAAGGATTGAAGGGTGTTGCGGTTTGGGTTACGGGTTCATGGCTTTCGGCTTAAGCATTTAGGGTTGGGGGCTTGATGTTTAGGGTTGCGGGCTCAGGATTTTCGGTTTAGGGCTCGGGTTTAGGGTTTAGGGCCTATGCATTCCTTCTTGTTCATTCTAGGGTTTAGGATTTTTGGGCTAAATTATTACTCCGCGGGCAGAAATTCGCACATATTTCCCTTCAGAGTGCTACCTGTTCAAGCCTCGAAGTATCGAGAGGGCCTGATGCTTTTATGTGCAACAGTATCCGGCGAGAATGGGTGCGGCTTTCAAGAAGCTTTATAGGGATGATCTAAGGGTATACAGGGGAATTGAAACAAAATCGAAGGTACTACATGGGAACAGCCAAAGAAGGGACCCAAACCGTGTGCTTTTGAGAATTCTGAGATGGCATGAGGGAAGTTCAGCTTTAATTCTGGTCCATGCAAACAGAGCTTGTGGGTTTAGCGGTGTAGAGTTGTGGAAGTTGAGCAACGCAGATTCTGCCCAGCAACAAGCTGTTTGGCGAATCCGCTAGCATGGCCCACAGGGCAGTAGCAAAGTATAAATCTCTAAGCCCCGTGTGCTTCTAGCAATTCCACCTGAGGCCGAGAGCTGCAGTCAAGAAGCCCATGCCTTATCTTGCTGGTGCTTAAGGGGACCGAGGGAGCGAATAGGAGGCTCTTTTTTACTACAGGGGTGCGCTCGCCCATTCCCCTTTAAGCACCAGTGAGCTATGGCCATATTCAAGTGCGTGGGACCTGCCGCATGGGAAGCTGAGAATGGGTTCACTGCATCCGCTAGTCTAAGCAGGGACCCATTTGGGCCCGCAGAGCGTACTAATCAGTATTTGGCAAACCTTCCCCTGGGAAGTGGATCGGGGCCAAGGATCAAGCCCAAGACGTCATGTTGGTTTAAATTTGCCCAACAACACGGGCCCCCTTAAACCCTAAAACCCAAAACGCGTCCAAACGAACGGCATCGTGTGGTTTTGTCGACATGAACCCTAAGTAAGATCACAACAACAATAGGTGTATGAGATGACGGGGAGCGCATTCAAATTACCATAGTCCAAAACATGAAGTGGACGCTCTTCTTTCAGAAGGCATGAATTCGGTCACTGCTTACTGTGCCTCCAGGCAAGTTATGTGGAACGTTCCGAGTGTTCCGAAAAGCCCTAAACCGTAAACTCTACACTCTAAACCCTGAACCCAGGAAGGAGTTGTGCAACGAAGCCACGGGCGCGCCCCTGACCTTCGTCCTCAGTCCCTAGCCCGCAACCCTTGAGGGTTTATGGTTTAGGGTTTGGGATCTAGGGGCCAAGGTCTAGGGGTTTGGGTTTCAGCTTTAGGGTTCAGCATCTGAAGTCCAAGCATTCACTTGTCAAGCAGCTTTCTCAAACAAGGGCAAAAGACTCACCTGCCCATTGGGTTAAACTCTAAACCCTAAACTCTAAACCCTAACCCCTAAGCCCTCAACCCTAAACTTATGTGTCATCTTCTTGCTGCTCTGTACTTCTTTTCCCAACCCCACTCTCGACCATCCTCAAAGCGTCCATTCGGGTTTAGGGTTTAGTGTTGAACCCTAGGCTTCCAGCCTAGGGCCCTGAGGTTTCACCCACTCCCTTGCCCACCAAATGCGGGGGTTTCGCCAAATTAGGGGTACCATTTTGGGGGTCCCCATAATAAGACTATAGTATATTTAGGTCTTTATTGGGGTCCCTCTATTTTGGGAAACTACCATGTATCACCTTTCGCACCACATTCATGACCTTGCCTACCAGTCCGCTAACATTCAAATTGTATGTGAAGATGTTTAGGGTTTAGGGTGTTGGGGCACTAGGGCTTATCTAGCTTTCTCACACACCCATTATGGTTGCCTGTAATCTCACATACCGAGCATAAAGGCTCACATTTTGTGGGAATTAGGGAGGTCTAGGTAGGGATTAGGCCTTGAGGTTCAGGACATCTAGACTTCAGGCCTTAATTCGTGTTCATGGCTTTGGGTGTCGCACAGTTACAGTAGCGGCTCTAGTCATGTTTCTCGGCTGAAGAAGCCGGCGTTTCGTGGAACTTGCAAATCCTCTCAATTAGTACCCTTCATTAAAAAGAATGACTGGCCCCACCCTACAGCAATCTTGAATACACCCTCCCAAAAAGTAACAATTTTAAAGTGCAGGGGTGGGATCATTATTAATTAGTGGGGGGTTGTTAAGATCTGAATGGTTCATAGGGTGCGTACCCAGCAGGATTTGCTCCCTAAACCCGAAACCCAGGGGTGCATGGCTTCACATGCTGTGCAGCATCTTCAACTCCACCATTGCTAGCAATGAAAGCAGGCGAGGAGGTTCTAATAATTGTGGCGGCTCTCTCCTTCTGGGTTTAGGGTTTAGGGGCTTCGTAAGAAGAATCTAATAGGATTCATAAAGAGGGCATGTAGGGATTTCATAGCTAAGGAGTGCAACAGTGAATTCAAGTAAATTAGAAAATGGCCCACACCCAAACGCACATGGAACTCCCAAGGAAGCCTTGTTAAAACTATCGCGGTCTTTTGCCGGCCCCACTGCGATCCTCATGTTAGGGAGGAATGTAACATGAATTCCAATCCAGGCAACGGTGAGAAGCTGACGCTGGAAGCTAAGGACCTTCCGGTACGGGGTTCGGGTTTAGGTTTAAGAGGCATGATAGAAGATGGGATCTAACGGACTTGCAGAAATGCCTTTCTGGTTCTAAGAGGAGCGTCGCTGATTTTGTCTTCATGTATGCAAGTAGAGCCGAAAGGGGCCCCGAATTAGCAGTTTTCATGGTGTGCTCGCTATTCTCCGTGGCCCATCATTCTCCCTAAGGGTCCAAGGACCCGCTTGAGGGCCCAAATACTATACTATTAATTTTCTTTTGGCCCTAAAACCCTAGTATTTGGGTCCTTGGACCCTTAGTGTCGGAATTTTGTTGAGATCCCGGCATGTTCCAACCCATAATTTGACGCTCAGCGAGGACTATGCTGGAGCAGAGGGCAAGGATTGCGTGGCGCAGCTCCACCCTTGGGAGGTTGAGGAGCTTCCCCACTTCCTTCTTCGTGATATTGTGGGAAAGGGTTTAGGGGATAGACTATATTGTGTGTACTTTGGGGCATGAACAAGAGTTAAGTTCCATGGAGCTAAGTTTTGCAGAGAAGCCAAGTGGATTCTCAAATAAGTATCCGTTGCAGAGGCCCTTTTGGAAGTTGGGCAAGGGCAAGAAGACTTGGAACCGGACTTGCTGTTCAGTCTGAGGCCTGCATTGTCCAAGGGCTCCATGCTTCTAGTTCAAGATGTGCTTTTCAATCAGGGCTTTCTGTCTCATGGTGCCCCTGAATTTAAGTCACACCGGCCTGATGGGGGTCGTGTGATGCCCTTCCTTTCAGTGCTTGGGATACCCTTCCAGCAGGACGGTCTTGCAGCACCCGAACCATATGAGAAGAGAACTACGCATTCCAGAATTTCACAAAATACATGCCGTTTGTATATCTGGTTATGGACTGTCTACAAAACCCTTGGCATCCCTTTGCATCCCAAGGGTCTGCACCTTTATTCAATCTCGAGAACCCCTCGATCTGGAAACTCGCAACCCCAAGTTCTAGACACAAAGCTCTAAGCCCTAAGACCTAAGCCCTAAACGCTCGTCACGAACCCCAATACATACCCCTTCTTAATATATACCCTCTTATCCTCCCCTGAGCCCCCGCATGTGCAGACTGTTAGGAGCGAAAAACTACAGGGACGCGTTGCCTTGCTGCGCTTGGAGCCACAGGGGTTTAGGGTAGTGAATCCTGGATGTTCTTTTTTCTAGGATTTTGTAGCGGTCTTGCAGGTGTAGGGCCCAGGGTTAGGGGGTCGGGTCCATTAGGGTTGAGGCTTGAGAGCTGTAGCTTAGCGTTTCCTCGCTGTGTTGCTGGTGGCTAGCACGGGATGGAGAATGTATCCCAATGGCTAGTGGCTGTGCCTTAAGCCCCTTATACTAGCCCCTATACCTTATTCAGTAAGTTTAATTGACCTTGAACTTCCTCGGCATGTTGCATCCTTTGTTCACGGCTTCTGGGACATGTAGCGATGTGCAGAGGCATATAATTCTGCGGTATTAGGATTTGGAGCTCACAAAAGCTTCAACGCTTACCAATCAGGTTCTCTTCGAGCCCGTATCAAGCTACATGGTGTTCTCTTCCTCAAACTGGAGCCCATTACAAGTGGGTAGCTTACAGATGGACAATCCCGTCTAGGCTTTCTTTACCACTGCTAGAAGTTAATGGGGTCTCATGGGAGTCCGTATGGGAGCACCATCACTATGGCTACCTGACTGTAAGCTACCCGACTGTAAACGGCATAGAACAACTACAGTTCGATACTTTATATTTCAGCAGTTAGGCTTCTGCTTAGCTTTTAAGATTAAAGCCCTAATCCTAAACCCTGTGTTGTTTTTACTGAGGCGGGCGCAGGCTCGTAGACTTATATCCAGCATGTTGAGTTCGGTGGTTACGCATCAAATGGAGACTCAGTAATTATCAGTATTATGGTTCTGGATTTGTTGATTATCCTTACTTCGGGTTCCCTGAAAATAGACCAGATGACATTGGTAATCTTTCAGGCGTCTACATCAAGCGGGTGGTGAGTTCGGGGCGGGGTTGGACGCTTGTGAGTTTGTTGTTCTCAGTTTTCAGCCAGTAGCAGCTGCTGCAGGGCCACCTTCATTGTGGGGGCTTGCTCCACTTCTTGTGTTTCGGTTTGCATCTGTCAGAAGGAGAACGGCAAGGGAAGAAGCATGTCATCAACACCCAAAGACTACGATGCCCTAAACCCTAAACTCTAAACCCTAAACCCTAAACCGCAAGAGTGCCATGCATGTTCCAGGCAAGGTGATCTGTAGTTGAGCACGCTGCGCTGTGTCCCAGCAGCATGCAAGTAGCCCCATAAATGAAAGCAGCCCCAGGCCCTATGTGGCTTCGCGCGCTTTAGGCCCTAAACCAACTTGCAACCCACGTAGACCCAATACTTTGTTTTGCTGGAGTTTACACCCGTCAAGCTCCAAGCCTTATAAACCCTACCTTTTCCCTTGGAATCCCACACGGCGGCAATTCATATCCTGCTCCATACTGACACAGCAGCCCAGAAGAATCCTACAGCCGCAGTCCTTTTGAAAGGGGCCTGGGTGGGCTTCCATGTTACTTTGACGGAGAGTATACCCTTCAAGTCCGAAAACCAGTTGTACGAACTCATACGGAGTCCCACGCCCGAAGCTCTACACCCCCTTACACCCAAAAACACCGAATTTTTAAGTCACCCCCGGGGCCCAAACCCAAAGCCCTAAGCCTCAAATTATGTTATGCAGCCGGAAAAAGGTCCGGAAAAAACAAGTCAACATGTTATAGATATTCCTACCATAGTCCCCATAATTTCCCAGCTACTCGTCTTCCCTATTCCTGTATGACCCCTGTGGGCCCAGGCCGCGAAGGCGATCGCGTCGTGGCCGCCGGCGTAGAGTTGGAGAGCTTAGTGCTGGGAGAGCCCTTGCTCCGTGCCTAGGATGCCTTTAGGATTAACTAAAGGGACTATAGAGAGGATTACATGAGCTAGATTCTATAAACTCCTTAAAGAAAGTTTATATTGCGAAGTATATAGGGGACTATTACAGGGCATATTAAAGTGGATACAAGGAGTTTAGACTATAGCTCACATAGGGTTATTCAGGGGCTGTATAGCCTTATATGTCAGGTCTCTAGGGCTTGGGGCTAAGGTTTTAGGATCGGATTCAGAGTTTAGGGTCTTTTTACGGCTTAGACGGCCCAGGGCCTGGAGCCATAGACCCTAAACCTTAAACCCTAGAGGGGTATTGCTAACCCTGGGGATCTATACAAGTTTTTGGATACTACCTACTCGGGGCCCAGAAGTCGATAAAGAATACCTGCACGACTTACTGTGGGCTATTTGGATACCTGGCCCAGGCAAATCATAACGACCTCACCCCAAATGGTGGTTTCTACCCAGTTGGCCTGATGTCAAGTTTTGGAGCAATAGGAAGCTCGAAAGCTCAAAAGGCTTAAGCGCCTGGGGGTCTAGCTTTCAGAATCTGGGGTTCTTCCAGAGCTATATCTTCCAGGGTTTTACTTTAGGATTGAAGGAGGTTTAAATTAAGGATTTAGGGGCTGAGGGTTGTGAGTTGAGGACTTCGGGGGTGAAGGATGCAAGCTGAAGGGAAGAACGGAGAGGAATACCACTTTGCACTGCCAGAGATTACAACAGTGATATTCAAAGCGTCATCATGGAAAACGAGGCGAGCAGCAAAATCCCCACCTAGTGACCCTAGACATGTTGATGCCCAACTGGGGAACAAGCAGCAGGTGGCAAGAGCACAAAATCCAAAAGCAAGGAATAGAACTAGGAGCAGTGGTACGAGAAGGGGTATTAGCATTAGGTTGTCTTGGTTGCAGCATTAGCAAGGCTAGCAACAGTCGTGAGTTGCGAGGAAAATTCCAACCTGTGGGCTGCGGGCCAGGGATTGAAGACGTGGCTCTTTCGAAGGGCACGCTGTACATCGACTTCTCTTCGCACTCGTGAACAGTAGCACGATTCCTTTTGTCCATTCTGAAAAACCGCTCTGAGTGTAGTTTAGCATCTCTGGCCGGCCTCTGTTTTTCAGATGATGAGTGGTGCCGACTTGTGCCATATTTCGCAAAGCCGCAAATGGGATGGCTAGGGCTGGTCTTGGTTTAGCAGGACAGTACAGAGCCATTCCAACAAAAGAATTGCAAGAAAGAAGTTTGAATGATCATTGATATTGCATATCCCCCCAAGCTCTGATATGACATCCTAATCGGATAGCATATAATCAGCATACACCCTAACACCCAGTCAAGGTTGTTTTACTCGGACCCTTACACCGCCGGCCTCACTAGGTTCTCTCATCCTTCCCTGGCTCTGTACTACCATTCCAACTGCAAAGTAATGTTGCAACCTCCGCTTGGTATAACTTCTCCTAATGAGAACACAATCTTACTTGGCTCAACCATCGAAACTCACTCATCTAAGAACCAGCATTCAAAGTTAGTATTTCAACAGGCTGTTTATCTTCCTATTTTTTGGTTTCTGCTTGCCCGGCGCATGAAGGGCAGCATTTCAAGTTCAGATTCGCACTCATGCGCCCAAGCGCGCGCATCAACATTTACTTAGGGACCGCAATAGCCCTTAATATACCTTCACGCGCCCTAAGAATCCTAGTAGCAGTTAGGGTGCATTCTTAAATTGCGGCGTGTTGGGCCCTTGGGGTATAGTCCCCCTCAAGTAGATAGAATATTGCTTTGGGTATATTATAATAAGATCCCCATATACCCCCATATTCTATCTACTAAAGGGGGACTATAATCCTTAATCCTAAACCCTAAATAGTAGTTTCCATTTTCTTTTCCATTATCCCCATATAATCCCTATGTAACCCCTTTAAAGGGACCCATATTCTATCTACTTAAGGGGGACTGTAAGCTCAAAGCAGGAAGTGTCTAGGCCTAGTGGAAAGTCCTGGGGCCGCCAAACCCTGCGTGAGACGACTTTACACACTCTATCCCTTGGCGTTTAGGGTTTAGGGTTTAGGGTTTAGGGTCCTAAGGGTCCAAGGACCCAAATAACAGGGTTTTAGGGCCGAACTGCTGTAATGTTATTGGTCTTTTGGCCCTCAAACCCTATTTTTGGGGTCCTTGGACCCTAAGGGTTATTCTAGTTCCACAAGCTCGGAGGAACCGTTTTCCACACCCAAACCTCAACTACGCGCTAAAGCTTAAAACTCAACCATCTGGACCCCCAAGCCCTAGACCCGAAGACCCCACCTTAAGGGTCCAAGTACCTAATAATCATATACTTACTCAAAACCTATACTATAAGTACTATTACCCAAAACCCAAGTTCCTAATTATTGGGTACTTGGACCCTCTGGGCCAGCCCAGGAAAGTAACCCTAAACCCTAAACCCTAAACCCTAAACCCTAAGACCCCAGCCCAGGAAAGTACTACACCGTCTTCGATGCTGAAAGGAGCCGCGTGGGCTTCGGCCTCGCGCGCCCGGAGACAACCGAGCCTGACACCATCGTGCTTATGCAGGCCTTGGGTTAACTGTTTCAGGGTTGTGTGCTCAGGGTGTAGGGTTTCAGGGTTTAGGGTAAAGGGTTTACTACAAGGTTCCTGAA